AAGTTGTCTGTCTTACGTATAGGAGCTGTGAACATGAGAAAGTCTCCAAATATAGACTCCTGCTCCTAAATTCTATTTCTGTGAAAATTCTGGTACAAAACCTGCTCCCAGAAAATGCCCTTGAATGTTGTCTCAGTTGACAGATGCAGGAACCAACTTTCCTAGAGAGAGTGTGGCAAGGATTTAAGATTTCTAATGGCCTATCCTGTTGTGGGCAGACCTTATTGTTGAGTTTTCTTCATTATTTCTTAGTTGGGAAATTCTGAAGAAGCAAAGTCTGATAAAGAATTTTACCTCCTGGGGATAACTCATGTTCCAGATAATGAACTTTGACACAATTATAGCTTCTCTTTGGAAACCTTATGTCCTTTCTGAGCTAAAATAGTAAGCAGATAGATGGAATCAATATTGGAGCTAATCTTATCCTTAGAACACAGCAAAAGGTCATCCACACCTTGGATAAGGATAGAATCACAGGGAAATTTAAGGTTCTTGAAGTCACAGTTGAGGACTTCTGAAAAGTGAGAGGGTACCGCAATAATCCCCTTGGCCATAACATTTCAGTATATTGTTGATTTTTCCAGGAGAAAGCAAATAAATATTATTTTAACTTAAAGGGACAATAAAACAAGCAGAATATAGATTTACTCTTATAAAATTGAAGACTCAGGAGTCACCTGAAACAAAGTAGTACTTGAGTTTGATACTACAGAGAAGTAGGGAATAACTATACTGATGTCTTGAAAATATTCATACCCTGTCATCTGGATTTTTCCCCCTCACTGCATTTTTAACAAGGATGGACTGAGCATTGGAAGGAGTGGATTCAGTGCCCCCAACATGCAACCTCTATCAGTAGAATATTTGCCTACCGAAGTCTGGCACCTCTTTGGGATCTGCAATGTGTGCTTGATTGAGATGCACAGACATTGATAATTTGATGTTGAAATTAGCTATGCCATTATATACAAATAGGAAGCCTTTAGGAATTTCAAGAAAAGTACTATGAGAATATTTGATCTGACAATTCAATTTGCATCACAAACAACTCCCTGTGAATTTAGTAAGTGTGTATGTTCATTAAGGAAGAGAACATTTATCTTGGCTGGGACATGAAGAATGTCTGAAGATTATTCTAGATATCCACTACTTGAGTGGTGGTTCATTCTAAAAGTGAGGTTGCATAAAGAGAGATTTGGGGTAATGGCATAGCACCTGTATTAATAATAAAGAAAAATT